GAAAAAATGCTGAATCAAGCAGCACAAAAAAGGCGGCATCTTCCTCTCTCTCACCTGACCACCATGAGCTTGTACTTGTTGGCGTAATGAAGGGCCATGTCAGCGACTTTGCCCCCAGTCACGACCACATTGGCCCCTGAATCAGCGATAGACTTCACCTGGGCCTCCATCATGTCCTCTTCTCCTTTACTGAAATTCATGAGCTCCTCTGCGTTCTTTATAAGTACTGTTCCCTGTGAAGCATCAGAAATAATTATTGAAGGAAGAAAGCCCAAAAAGCAAAGGAGAACATGATTTAATGCACATTTCTTGAACATCATACAAAATAAATACTGTCAACCCATAGATACAAAAGGTCCATCTAATCCAATTCAATAAGCATTTTCCTACCTTTGTTTCAGTAACCATGCAGTCAAACGGACAGGAGAACACTGCTATCTTTGTGTCTTTCACTGATGTGATGTCTCCTTCTGTCTCTTTCTTAAATACCATCCCATGGAGCATCATAGAAGAGTTCAGTCCACAGCCCTACAAAGAAAAAAGAAAGAAAAAAACTGAAACTGACCCACAGACACTCATTCATTTAAAGCAGTGCCTAAAATCATGTTATACTTACCAAAATTTTGCACACTCTGACATTATCAACATTGAAATTGCCAGACTCAGGGAAGATAGAGACTGTAAAATAAGTAGTAATAATAAAATGATTATGTATAATGTAATAATAAAATGATTAAAATGAGAACATTTTAAATTCACAAAAAAAAAAAAAAGAATCACAAAATTAAAAAAAAAACGTCACAAAATTATGTATAATGTAATAATAAAATGATTAAAATGAGAACATTTTAAATTCACAAAAAAAAAAAAAGAATCACAAAATTAAAAAAAAAACGTCACAAAATTAAACAACTTTCCTAGAGCACACCAAAGCGATCATGCCTTACCACAGGCCTGTGCGATAAGGTTGGCCAGGAAGTCCTCATTGCCGTACTGTTTGCTCATGATGGCTGAGTGGATCATGGCTGTGGCCTCATCCAGATCGTGCAGGTTCTTCGCAGACGAACAGACGCAGTCGGGCAGAATCTCCAGAGCTTTCTTACATGCCATCTCATAACCCTCAATCACCTGGGATTCAACATAATCATCAGCTCAGGCAAACATGCTGTCAATAATGCAAATAAATGATATGGTAGTTTTCAACTTAACATGAATTTGCAGGGATTAATCATACTACTTAACCCTCATAATGCATTCGGGTCTGTTTTGACTAGGGCTGCATGATAAATCGCATGCGATATTTAATGCCCATCTTGTCAGTAAAGCCGCTTCTGTAATCAGCGGTAAATCTCCATCACGTGTGTGCTTTCACATGGAGCAGTTTACTACAGTTTACTACACAGAGCCGTTGTTAACTGACAAGCTGCGCAAAACCACATTCATATATGATCGTGGTTTTGCGCAGCTTGTCAGTGAACAAAGGCTCTGTGTAGTAAATACTGCTCCATGTGAAAGCACGCACGTGATGGAGATTTACCGCTGATTACAGAAGTGGCTTTACTGACAAGATGCGCATTAAATATCGCATGCGATTTATCGTGCAGCCCTAGTTTTGACCCAGAAAATATTTTTTTTAGTTGAGACTCTAAAACAGACATTTTTTTTTTTATAACAACTTAATGCAACCTCTTTCCTGACAGTGACATACTGCATTAGTGAGGTTGTTTACTGACCTCTGAAACAGACAGGCCCATCCTCAGCAGTTCCTCTGCAAGCTCCAGCAGAGCACCAGCAAACACCAGCACAAAGTTTGTGCCATCACCTACTTCCTGCTCTTGCATGTGGGATGCCATCACGATCATTTTGGCTGCCGGGTGCTGAACCTTGAGGGAAGGAAGGAAAGAAAGAGAAAAAAAAAAAGAGACATACAAATATAAATAAATAACAAAGAGACATATAATCTTCCTAAGTATATGCATTAGTTCTTGTTTTTTTCACAATTATTATTATTTACCTCCAGCTCTCTGAGAATGGTGGCAGCATCATTTGTGACAAAGAGTTTCTCCAAGTGGTTGATGACCATTTTGTTCATACCTGTACAGAATTAAATGATCATGTGATATCCAGTGATATCACTAAAAAGGTCTAATACATCATAGTGAACACATAGCCTCACCATTGGGTCCGTATGCAGTTCTTGTGGTCTGTGCCAGTTCTTTGCATGCTTGGATGTTTCTGAAAACAGCCTCCTCAAGACCCGAATAGTGCTGATTGTGGAAAACAAATAGCAAACATAAGTCAAAAGTAATTTCATATTTTGAAAACATAAAACACTTGGGGCTGCTTAGTGGTTTCAATATTCAACACTGAGTAACATGCTTATTGATTATTTCAAAGTGAAATACTAGGCAGCGAGGGATCAGTTGACATTTCTATAATGTATAGCGTAACATTTCTTTAAGAAACTTTGCATATACATCATGCAGTAATTGCAGATTCACACACCATTACTATCATACAAAGAAAACAAAAAGCAATGCTGCATTGGTATAGATCTATCAGAAAGAACCATGAGTAGTAATGATATTTGCTGGTATAATGTTTATCAAAACTGCATTTGTCAGCGCTATGGACGTGAATATCTATTAAAAAATCTCAAATACTTAATTTAGAAGCTAAACAGTTACAAAAGCAAATTAACTGGAAATTAAAAACACTGAATCTCTGAAAGCAAATTGTGTTGTTAGTTAAATGATCTGATCAGCATATCAACAAACCTAATATCCAGAGATTACGAATGGGGAACTGCCATTTTATGGCAAACTGCACCCTTTATGGTTTATTATTCATTTATTTTTTTATATAGACCTTTTAAAAAGTACATTTAAAGAGCGTTGTGATTCTACAGCTTACCAAAATCAATTTACTTTCTTAAATTACCTATAAGTCAGTTGGGTGAGTGGGTGAGTGAGTGAGTGTCTGTCTGTCAGTGGCACATGTCTTCGGCTAACATGCTAACTTCATTCATCCATTACTTTCTAACGAATCCCCAAGTTCTCTCAAGCCCTCCATATTTCATTAAGACCTAACAGTAATGACGGACTTGTACAAAATTCTATTCTTCCGCTGAAGTCTGAAGGGTGTGCTGGTTTTACCGGTAGTTGGGCGCTATGAGGCCCATGTTCTAGAAACCTCTATGTGGAGTCACTGTGTGTGCGCTCTATAAACAACACAATACAAGCTAAACGCTGCTTCAACAGCCCTACCTTCGCACCATCCTTTAACATCTGAGCAAAGCCCGGGGCTTTGGGGACGTGAAGAGCCATTTTGAGCAGATAAGATAGATATTAAACTGATGCTGGATGAGGCTGCAGCGCACAAGAAGCATGCAGCTAAGAAAGAACAGGCGCCGCTGCAGAGAGCAGAAACACGGATTACTGATCCAGACAGACGAGAGAGTGGAGCGCCGATTGATCCCCACCCAATAACAGAAATTTTATTTATTTATTTATTTATTTATGAGCTTCTTTTAATTTCAAAAATTAAATTTTAAATAAAAAAATTCTCATTTTAAATTTAAATTTTAAATGGTAAAATGTAATAATAATAATAATAATAATAATAATATACCCAATATATATCGTTAATTATTCATATCACTTTGAATAGTAGTAATCAAATTGGTATAATAATTTTTTTTCTGAGCCAATTGAATTTATGAATTTAGTCTATAATATCACCAAAGAACTATTATTTATTATTTCTATCTTTAAAATTAAATAAAATATTACAAATATATATATTTAAAATATAAAAATGAAATATAAAGATATTTAAAATAAAGTAGAGTAAATAAATAATAGAATAATAAATCAATACATTAGAATAAATTCATAGATTAATTTGGCTCAAACTAATTTCTCAAATGGCTCAAAACACACACACACACACACACTTATTATTTTTTATTTCCATTTTTTGCAGTCTATTTGTGTGTGTGTGTGTGTGTGTGTGTGTAAATTGCATTTAAATATACAATTTCTCATTTTAAATTTAAATAAAATAATTTAAATAAATTTAAATGTAAAATAATTTTGATATACCTCATATATGTTAAGTATTCATATCACTTTAAATTAATTAATAATCTAATTATTTGTTATAATAAGTTTGAAGCAAATTAATCTTTGAACTTATTCTACTGTATTGATTTATTATTCTATTATTTATTAATCTGTTTTATTTAATGTACTTTACACACACAGAATCACAGTGCCACTCTGACAGCCTCCTGCTGAAGAGCTGTGATAACTTTGGCTGTGTTTGTGAGCCTGCTTTTGGCTTCTCAGTGTTCACTACAAGGATTAGGACTAGTTTACTGTGACTTTTGACAGTATAAACACAGTGCAGAAGATTTACAGGATTCTCAATGGAGTGTCTTCAGCTCTGTGTCCTCTGCTGAGCGACTCTTGAGGCTCTTTTAAGATTTTTATTACAGAGTTTTCTGTAAATACGTTTCTACTGTCAGGTAAGGGGTTTTTATTGTTTCCTATAGTCATATGTAACAAATTGAACTTCTTAAAAATCTTCTTTTAGCTTTAACAAGTAAAGTTACAGTAGCCAATGAGCCTTTTTAACAGGCTATATATAGTAGCCTTTTCATACTTTTCATAACATTACCATTGGGCTTTCAGTCTTCTGTAAAAATATATAAATATAAAGTATAGTAAATATACATATAGTATAAACATACACAAATATGATTTCATAAGTCATTTCAACACTAAGAAACACTGTGCAGCCAATACAGAGGTATGATCTCATTTGCTGGCTGGAAGAGGATTTATCTCCAATTGTTTCATCCCTGATGCAACTTTGGGCACATGATGAAACCTTCTCATGACCCCTGAAAGGCTGCTGATCTCATACATCTGAAGCATAAATAAGGTTCATATCCACCCGTTTAATCCTCATCTGCTTTTTTTTCTAGGAATAAATGATCACCTCAACTAGACGCGTCTCTGCAGATAAACCTGAAGTACAAATCGCTTTCAGCCTCGACGAAACTTCAGGTAACGCATCTGTTAGGAATATGCAGATTTTTATTTTAGACATTTACATGCTTGTGACAAAGACAATGCAACTGAGAGACTAAAATAGAGTTGCATTCCCCCGCTCTGCACGGTCCACACGATGCGTGACTTCTACCAAAATGGCAACAAGCAAAACCCACCCAAAGCCTCTCATGTGGGATCAATTCAGCTTTTGCCATCCTTTCCAAAGAAACAGGTGCCCCTCTATTTTAGTTGATCTCTGGCATCTTAAAAACAAAATATCCACCTAGCCACAAAGTCAACAGCGCTGTCAAAGTGTTTTACAGCTATTCGGGCAAATGCTTTGATGGCAGCTGCTGCCTGGGCATTGCAGCATCAGGTTTCTGTTTTAATACCTCACTGCTGCATGATTCACTCATTTGCTTTTAGAACACTGGCCTAAATTTAAAAGCATTTAATACTTCACGCTTCGCCGCTACTTTGCCCTGCGTCCTTTTTTTCTTTCCCAAAAGTGGAACACAAATCCTACACATAAACATGCTACATTTTAGTCTTCTTCCCCATAATCCTTCCTTCTTTACTTTTTTCTTTGTGTGTGTGTGTGTAATTAACAGCCACTCATTTATGAAAACTATAAAATGATCAAATAAATGTAGTTTAACTGAAATAAAGAAATTAAAACAACTGTGGAGAACAAAAGCTAAACTAAAAAACATTTACATAACTCCAAAACTAAACTCTAAAATAAACAAACAAATAAATAAATACATAAATAATAATAATAGCAATTATATATATATATATATATATATATATATATAATACTATTATTATTATTATACATATATATGTATAATATAATATATATTATATATTATTAAACTATTATACATAAAATAATTCTGATATAAAATTCTACAATTATATATACAAAAAATAAAATTCTCTCTCTATATATATATATATCAGTGGCATTCCGTCCATATAAGCATATCCATATAAGGATAATATGAATTATCCTGTGAATTTATTCTCTCAAATGGTCTGGGTATGCGGAGCATTCACAGCTTATATGGACGGAACGCCGCTGATATACACTATTATACATTATTATACATAAAATAATTCTAAAATTGTACAATTATATATACAAAAATTTTTATTCTACACAAACACACATTCACACACTATAATTAAACATAAAATAACGCTAATATAACATTTTACAATTATATATATACAAAAAAATAAATTCTACACACACACACTATACATATATAGAGAAATGAACAGTCACTTGTTAATGACAATTAAAATATATATATATTTATTATATGGAGATGAATTATTATCGTGTTTAGTTTACAAATACATTTAAATGAAATAAACAGGGAAACAGTACCTTAAAAAAGTGTATTACTCCAAAACTAAACTAAACTAAATTAAATGCTAAAATAAATAATAATGAATTAATAACAAGCTAATAAATAATCACATTATTTAAAATGTTATTATTATTATTATTATTATTATCATGCACATAATAAAATTATTATTATATGAAATATGTTCTATATATATTTTAAACATTTGTACTTTTAAATAATACATATTTTTCTTATATTATATTGTATTATATAAAACAATGCAAGACTGGTGCAGTGAATTTTTTTTTCTCCAAAATAATATATATGCAGCCAGTCAGCCAAAATGACATGAAACGGTCATGCTTCTCCCCACCTGGCCACATTCTGCAGGAATCACGTGCATATCATGTTTCAGATATTATCCTTGCAAATTTTTATGTATATTTATCTTATAATTGGCCGTCTGGCTGAGGCATGACTGTAAACAGGCCTGTTTTTAGCTGGTTGCATCAGAGGATTCTCAGCGTGAGTGAGTGAGTGAGTGAGCCCCACTTGGACATGGACATAGCTGGCATGGCGGGAATCAGTGCAGACAAGCTGTCTGTCAGAGCGCTCGTTAAAGACAAGTCATTGCGAAGAACCTGGGAGATAGTTACTTTCAGTCTGTCCGTTTTGGATTTAGAGTCCATGGCCGAACAGCTGGTGCTCGACTTTGGCTTTTCGCACTGATCTGGAAGCAGTTTCTAGGTGAATGGCCACATGTATGTTCACATAAGGAAACCTGGATCCGTGTAAACACTAACTGGACATGCTGTGGTGACGTGTGCACTGTGGTATGGTTCAGCTGATTAGATGGATGTAGATGTCACCACTAAGGCCTTGGAGTAAAGATCTCAAACATTAGCATTCATTCTCATACCAGACATATTCCTCTGGCTTTCTTTTCCTCTCAGAGTTGAAAGATGCAGAGGATCCCCTTCCATCATTCCCTGACCTTGAACAACGCCTGCAGGTAAAGTTTATTAATAATCTGTTTAAAACATGACGGCATAATACTGCATGCTTAGAATACAATTACAGTGTCTGCTGTAATAAACCTCTGGTAGTAGTAGATATTATACATCTGACTTTATATCTCACAACTAAAGATTGTTGTGTGTGCGATAATCACAGTGTGGGGTCATTGTTTGCAGAAAAAAACTGTAGAAAGACTAAATCCACTGTGCTAATATTAGCGCTGAACAGCAGAATCAGCAGAAGTGTGAGGGTTTTTAAACAAGGGTGAAGTGAAATGATCCTGCATGTAAGCTTCAGGAGGAAAGAAGCAAAACCAGACACATTAACCCAGACTACATTATGAACATCTGCAGGTCACAGAAATATATTACTGCTGCTTTAAAATGTTTGTTGTCGTCTCTTCCTTGAGTGAGGATATTTGTTTCTCCTTGCATCTTTTATTCAGTTTATTTAATGGGACATATGCTGTAGAGAATCCAACTTTCTCATGCAGGAAATGTTTCAGCAATGCTTCTGTAAGACCACAAGATGGCATTAGTTTTATTTACTTTTAAGTTATCATTAGACTTAACAGGAAATCAAAATTAAATGATAATATCAAAATGACAAATTATAAATTTGAAAGAAAAATAAAGGTATATGAAATAAAAATATATTAAATATTTAAATAAAAGTATTAAATGTTAATTTATTGTTATTATTATTATTGTTGAAAATACATGTATTAAATACTAATAATAACAAAAATAATAACTACATTTAATTTTTTGCCATTAGAAGCCCATACATGTATATTATTACTATTATTATTATTATTATTATAAATACATAATATAAATACATTTATTATACATATTATACATATTATTATTATTAGTGTTGTTGTTAAAATACATTTATTAAATACAAAATAATCATTATTATAATAATTACATTTAATTTTTACCATTAGAAGCCCATGCATTATTATTATTATTATCAATACATAATATAAATATAAATACATTTAATTAAATAAAAACTGATCATTATTAATTAAAAATCTTTAAAAAAAAATTTTTTTACTAGAAGCCCATCAGTTTTATTATTATTATTGCTGTTGTTTAATTATTATTTAATACAAATCTTTATTACATAAAAAATATTAAATAAAAACATTTAGCTCATAAATTACACACTTTGTATCTAATATACCGTTTTTGGTCTTATTGTGAACAGTATGAAAAATAAATCCTTCCTCATAATCATTCATCAAAATGCAATAACTTGCTTTTCTTTTTCGGGTGACGTCCTCCAAATTTTCACAATCCAGTCAATTCCTGATGCACAAAATGTCCTGGCCAACTTTTTTTCCCCCTTTAAATATGTTGTTTCACTCAAAAATACTTTACATTACGCAAGTAAAATGGAGAGTGAATGCTGTTTCATGCTGACATGAAGGGTTGGTTTTGACTAGATCAGTACTTTTTCTCATACAGTTTCCTCATAACTAGTACATTACTGATACCAAAAAAAGGCTTTGTCACGAATATCATATACTCTCTCAGACTGTTTTTTTAGGGAAAAGGCTAAAGGGAGCAAACCATAAGAGCTTACATGTGTCTCTTCGCATCATGAAATGTGCTGACTATCGTATAGATTAAAAAAATCTGTAATCTTTATCCTTCAATATATTTTTAGCAATCTATAAAGCTGTTTGTGAAATTATTTCATTTTTATTTAAATTTGTGCTGCTAGCATTTAAAGGAAGATTCCCCATAAAAGTGTCCCTCTCTGAAATGCTGAAATTGTCCTACATCAGAATAGGCTGGACTTAACACGCACACACACACATTAGGGGAAAAACTGGGAGAAGTTGAAGCGTTTTGTCGTGTGGATGATATTCTGTAGGACTGTGGCACGAGTCATTGTGAAAGAAGAAGTTCCTGACACAAAAGGAATAAAAAAGTCAAGCGTCTCACAAACTGTTTCCACATTCATCTATTGATTGAAACCCTCTTGTCAGGCCGTATGACGATTCTGTGTATATTCCAGGATGTAGCAGACAATCCAAATATAACAAGTTCCTGAATTCATCTCCAGTCACTGCAGCTACAGTATATAGACAGATATGTGTCAACTAACTCATTAAAAAGAGCAATTGTGGTTTGTGCTGAAGTATTAGGAAAAATAAAACACTTACAGTTTCACCAATAAAAAAATGTGATGTAATAATGTCATCACCTTCCTCACTAGCCGGTGCTGCCGTGTCGGTCTCTAAAGGAGTCCACTGAAGTATACAAAAACCACTGCACGATGGCCAACGAGTTCAACCAGGTCAAACATGAAATCGCCAGGCTGGAAGACAGAAAGTAAGCTTTAAAAATAACTCGAACACAAACATGTCTTCATGATATTACTCAGATCGATTTCAAATTCAGAGTTGTTAATTACCCTATTAATACGCTATTGTGTTTGTACAATTAACAAAATATACTTTGATACAGTATGTTTTATATAAACACACACATATTTGTAAGTATGAACAGACAGACAAGACAACTGATCAAAGCTGCCATTGTCTGCCTTCATGGAGTCATGCTGCTCTACTGGTTAAAATTGTCCTGTGTAATCATGACAAGACCTGGCATATTGTACTGTGGTATGCAGGACTTTTTGTTTTTTTTAACATTTACATTGCAAAACCACACTTTGATGAAAACAAAAGTGCACTGTAAAGCCTAACAAGTATACTCCAATTTGTAGGATTCCAAACAACCCTTTTTTGAGTTTTTAAAAAGTACATTTGTATTTTCAAACCACATACACTACAATCATTTGCAAACTAGTCGTGAAAATGTATGTAAACATAACTAATGTTAAATGCATGCACGACTTAGATTTGTAAAGCATAAATACTATATTTATATCATATCACACACACACACACACACACACACACACACACACATATATATATATATATATATATATATATATATACAGAGGCTGGTTCTGGTTTATTTATAGAGGGAAACACAAAACGCTTCTTGTTATCTAAATGCCACTGTAAATTTCCAGTGTTTGTTCTCTTTCTCATTTTCTTTTTTTTTTCCTCATGTGTTTTCCACACATGAACTTTTTCAAAAACACTGAGTTCAGATAAAGCAACAAGCTCAGCTAGAGAACCATTTCTGATGTTCCCTAGTGATATACTGTATACATATAGTATGTCTCTGATTCATCCTTGTGCAGTTAAACAATTTTAACTCTTTGTTTTCCACATTTTAAACCTTCATATTAAACAAAAGACACAGAAACGTGGCTGTCACCACATTACGACCCTGCTCAAACAGTTAACTATGGTCCAAAGGCCATATGCAGACCACCTGCTGGCTCAGTGCCTTTGTGAGCTAGTGAAACATTACAAACCGCAGACAAGTCTCTTCATCTAGACCAGTGTTTCTCAACCCTGGTCCTGAGCGCCCCCCAACACTGCACATTTTGTATGTCTCCCTTTTCTGACACACCCATTTCAGATCCTGGAGTTTCTTTTAATGAGCTAATGTTGAGTTGAATTAGGTGTGTTTGATTAGGGAGACACACAAAATGTGCAGTGCTGGGGGGTGCCCAGGACCAGGGTTGAGAAACACTGATCTAGACGTCTACTAATAATATTTGTTTTTGTTTTTTTTCCCGATTGAGATCATTGTACCAGGTACCAAAGCTCTGGCATCAACAGTTTCACTTCCTATTAAATAGTTTCGGGTACAGAACCGCCAACTGTAGTCACCTGTCTGACACCCAGCCCACATAATATGTTATTTTTGCACACACCTTTCATATCATCATTACATTAAATACAGTCATTAAAAGATGTGATGTACTGAATGATTATAACATGTTATTTGTGTTTGTCACGCTCAGGAGAGAGCTCATGGCAGAGCTGCTAGAGGATGAAAAGGTGTCGATGGAGTTTGCACGACTTGAGGAGGAATACAGTATACTTACGGAAGAGAACCAAAATCTGATAACAGTCCATAGCCAACGCGCACAGCAGCTAGAGACGCTCCGAGTGATCAGTCAAAAGAGGCAGGGCTCCTCATGACCTTTGACAACATGTGTGAAAGAGCTTTCATCTCTGGGTCTTCACTAATGCTTATAAACATCTCAGCGTTCCTTCAGTGCTTGTGTAATGTACTGAAGCCGAAAACTGGTCTTGAATCAGTGTGCTTAGACTGAGAGACTTAATCAGTGTATATTTCATACATTTTAAGCTAATATGGGTCTATTTCAGAGCAGATGGTCTTGTGGCCCAAACTTGAGCTGAGAGGTCGCCTCACTCATATATGTCTGATATCGCATTCTGAATATATACTGTTTTTCTTCTTTGTGTGTTTTAAGGGCGTGTTTGTTGACAAATGTGCTTCACTCACTTAAACTGTACAGAAGAAATGCTCTGCTGTGAAAGTTGCTCTCAGTAAAAGTTTTTACTGTTTACTCTCTGCCAATTGCATAAAAAAGGAATTAAGGAATTACATTTCTGTTCAGCTATTTGAGTTCAAGCTAGGTGACGATAAATGTATGACTACACACCATTGTTTAGTCACTCAGCAACAGGGAACTTGGGTTTCGAAATGTGATCTGCTCATTTTAGGATTGTGAAACCCTTCAAAAATATCAATGGCTGACACCCCCATCTTACACAGCTGAAATACCAGAGTTGCATGTCCACAAACCAGTTTAGCAGCATGAAAGGTTTGCGTCCTCCAGATTTAGGGTTTATTTAGTCTAGAGAGCTTTGTTTAGTTAGTGAAGGTTTCCTTTTCTTTATCAGAATTATGATTGTGAATGTTAAAAATGTAATGGCATATGCTTATTTTGACATTTGTGAGTAGCATTTTACACTACAGTGTTTACTAACCATAATATGTAAATTGTACCATAAAATAGTTACATTATTTTCTATTAGTATTATATAACTCACAACTTATGTAAAGACTCCAAATAAAAAAGACTATTATGGTATTGAATGAATGATTTTAAGCATTATACATTTTATAAGTTAAGAAGACACAAAGTGTGCTTGTGTCTGGCTACACTGGTCCAAATATTCAATATACTGAATATTCCATTTCGTTATTGTTTGTAAGTTTCCCAACATGGGACTGAAGAGGTTAAATGTGTCTGTCAGTCTGTACAGTGGACTGTTGGTGAAAAGAAAACCACGGAAGTCTGTCGGCGAAAAGCAAGGAAGTAGTGACGTTAATGATTGACAGTACAGAGGGCCAATGAAAAGAGGGCTGTGTTTCAGAAGGCGGGACAAAAACAATTTTTTTGGCAGAAGTCACATGACACCAGAGTGAAACACAAGCGCCTCCTTATTTTCATAGTTACAAGTGAGCGCTTTAAGCTAGCCGAGTTAGAATGTAACATCAAATCCAACTTTTCCTCTCACTCTCCAGTGATATGACAGGTGAGTATATACGATCTCTTGTGGTTTGGTCGGTTTTGTGTGTCAAGAGAGACAAAAAGACACTGAGAATGGAGATCGGTGAACTTTATAGTTAAAGTTTAAAATATCTCATTTAAATGTAAATACGTATTAACTGGTTTAGTTTAGATTTAGTTCTGTTTCACGCCATACGACTGCGAGTTTTTCCAATGATCACGACTATTCTTATCTACAGATGTCTTTTTTTCCCCCAATCGGACGTAAGCTGTCTCAAAACATAATGGGCTTTCTACCTAGACAGCATTTTGAGCGTCGTATCCGCGTTCGGGGGGTTCTATTCGAACATTTAAAAGCGCGCCTGGGATGCTGGCTAGGTAGGCGCTCACTAGGTTTTGTGACACAAGCGTAATGTTGGGGTTTTATTACATCCAAGGCGCGTCTGTTGTTTTTACTCGACACGGGATTAGGAAAATGAGTTCAAATGTTTCCGTTTAACAACATAAAATGCTCCATCTGAACTGTATGAGGCAACCGGTCCCTAAGTTCCTCGTAAAGTGGAGGAGTTTAATGGAAAGGGACAGACGGGGAAAATGCTTGCTCATCCTTTATCAGCAAAACCTAATGAGTCAGCAGTGAGCGGCACACACACACACATAACTTGACTAGGTCAAATTCTCAGTACACGGTTGAGATAAGGAGCTCCCGTGGATAAGGAAGGACACGTACGTAGTGAGTGTTTCAAAAAGCATTTTCCCTGAGGCGCTTTTGTTTTTAGCCGTACTTCCCGTAAAACCAGAGTTTTTAAGTATCACGCGAGCAAAAGTGCTGTTGAATATCAAGTCGGCTGTCAGCTAGACAGTTGCAAATGTGATAGTTTTCATACAGGTTCAATGAAAAATAAGTTAATGCTGAGTAGCTAGTTTACGTTTGAGACACAAATTGGCCAGTTAATGAGTGAACAATCCAAAACTCGCAAAGCACAAAACTGGAAGAGTTGTGAGTGGAGTGGCATAAATTTCTCCTCCACACACAATGTGTCACTCCGCTCTGGTTCCAGTCCGGGTTTTCCATTTCCCATTCCCTGCCGCTCTCTCTCTCTTCGTTCGGCTTGCTCACTTTTTCAGGGGTCCTATTCCCTGCTGCTAACTAGTGAAATAAATAAGACTGCAGCAAGCAGATTCTGGAAGTAAAATAATTTTCTCCATTAACAATAACTTACAGATCCTTAAAGAGTTTGTTAATCAATGCTATATGCTTTTGTTAAAGCCACCAGGCTGCATTATTTCAACTTATTTTTTAAATAATCATGTTAAACAGTGGAATTCTGGGTGGAAAACTACATTGCCATGATTCTACAAAACAACAACAAAAACATCAAAACAAGAAAATAGTACTCGCAAGGATCTCTGCTTTAGTCTCCTTATGTATATATCCGTGGTTGTAATTCACCTCTTTGCTAGTTCGTGGGTTATAACTCTTTAACAAAAATCTTTATGGGAAAAATGAATGTAATTTGTAATGTTGTTGTTGTTGTTGTTATTTGTAAAAACTGTAAAAACCATAGCAGGGAATTTTAATATTGTGTTCACGACATGGAGATCTTTAGAGTGAATATATATTTTACAAGTTATGCTGAGCTCTAAAATATTTCATTGGTTAGAAATTGCTCTTTAAAATTGCTGCATACAACATCCATAATATGATTTTGAAACATCTCTAACCAGTAAAAGGAAAAGTCATGGAAATGTAATGGTCAAACTGTTTAGAAACCGTGATGTTTGCTGTATGTCTAATGAATGAGTTTTATAACCAAATAATCTCAGTTATGATTAGTACACATGACAGTTTCTTTGAATTGAGCACATATTCTTTGTTTTTACCATACAGATTAACTCAGCATGTCAGTGGAAAACTCCAAGTCGTTTAAGTTCACCTTCCAGTCATCTGTGCACAGTTCCCACGTTCTGCAATGTCTGAATGAGCAGAGGAAGAAAGATCTTCTGTGTGATGTGACTGTTGTGGCAGAGACCCAGAGTTATCGGGCCCACCGGGCAGTTCTGGCATCCTGCAGTGATTATTTCAACGCTCGTTTGTCCAGTCATACACCTGAAGGAATTATCATCAACCTTCCTGATGAGGTAACAACATAATTAAAGGTCTGAAATGAAGGAGGAAGTTCATGGGATATCTTTGGCCCAATATTACGACATAAATATTTAAAGGGATAGTTCACCCAAAAATTCTGTCATTAATTACTCACCCTCATGTCGTTCCAAACCCGTAAGACCTTCGTTCATCTTCGGAACACAAATTAAGATATTTTTGACATAAATATTTAAAGGGATAGTTCACCCAAAAATTCTGTCATTAATTACTCACCCTCATGTCGTTCCAAACCCGTAAGACCTTCGTTCATCTTCGGAACACAAATTAAGATATTTTTGATGAAATCCAAGAGCTTTCTGACCCTGCTTAGACAGCAACGCAACTATCACGTTCAAGGCCCAGACAGGTAGTAAGAAGTCGGACATTGTTAAAATTGTCCATGTGACATCAGTGGTTCAACCGTAATTTTACGAAGCTACGAGAATTATTTTTGTGTGCAAAGAAAACAAAAATAACGATTCAACAATTCTTCTTTTCTGCGTCACTGTCCTCCATCATTATAGAAACAGAACTTTCATTTTTGGATGAACTATTCCTTTAATTCAACGTCTATGTGAGATATATGATGCATTTTTATGCATGTGATTTAAAACGTATTGTTTTTTTTTTTCTTCTTTTTTTTCATTTTGAAGGTTACCTCAGAGGGATTTGAACCCTTGCTGGACTTTGCCTACACCTCAAAACTCATCTTTACCAAAGAGAATGTGCTGGAAATCCGTAACTGTGCCTCTGTTCTTGGTTTCAAGAACTTGGACAAAGCCTGCTTTGACTTCCTTCTCCCCAAGTTCTTTGAGAGCAGCAGAAGTGCATCAAAAGTCCAGCGGAAGTGCTGCAAAACCAAATGCTGCAAATCACGAGGGGCTGAATTGAGCTCGATTGACGGGGATGATGTTATTGATGAAGACAAATCATTACTTCGGCCCTCGCAGCTTCAGCTTGAAGTCAAGGAGCCATCTTGTCCTCCTTCGGTGGCCATTGAGGACGTCGGAAAAAGCTGTCACAGCCAGAAAGACACGGATTACTCCCTCCTGTGCCCAAAGTACCGGAAGTTTCAAATAGCTTGCGGGAAGGAGCGATCCGGTCTGGATGTTTGCGACTCGAAACCCATGTCCCTTGACAAGTCAGAAGACGATTGTCCTTTAAACTGCCTACCTTGCTCAAGTAATGAAGACGGCAAGGAGATCTTATCATGCTATAAGACACCTCTCATTGGCAATGAAGATTCTTTTCTGCCTAAATGTCCCCTGAATCCTGGTCCTTGCACAGGCCAGCCATCATTTCCAATCTGTAATGAGTCGGCACAATCCATTTGTGACTCTGAAAAACGGGGAACGCCCCCTCGCTTAGGACTGGAGGATGGTGTGAGGCCATACATGGAGCTCAAAGCTGACCGATGCAGTAAACAGAGGAGCATGGAGGAAATAGAGGTGGCTAAACAACTCACGTTCTGGCCAGATTCTTGTCAGGCGTCTCGCTCTGGCCTGGGCTTGGTGGCGAAACCCTCGATTCTCAACTGTCTGAAAAG